TAAGGCAAGGATATAATGGTTGGCTGGAGTTTGAAGTGGGAAGCAGGTAATTGAGGCAGCTGGTCATGGAGGTACAAAAGTCCTCAAAGTCCTCGTGATTAATGTTGAAGATGAAGAGGGCAGAAACATAGAAATAGGACTATGGTATCCACCGCTCAAGCCTGTTCTACCAATCAACTAGATAATGATTCATCGTTAAGGTCAGTCTGTTTACCATCTGTTTTGTTCCTTACCACCCTTCCCTATCACTGTCATTTTGTCCAACTGTAAAATCTTGAGTACACTGTCTTCCTCTAATTTTATCCTCTTGTGCACTTCTGATTTCCTTTGCTTCACCATTGGTGGCTGTGTCTTAAGTTGCCTGGGATCTAAGTATGTAATTCCCTCCCTAAACCTCTCCATTCCTGCATCTTTCACTTCTTATTTCAGATGCTCATAAACCTACCACTTTGACTAACCTTTTTTTATCATCAGTCTTAATATCTTCCAAGGTGGCTCAGTATCAAAATTTGTCTGGTATATTGTTGTGAAGTGCCTTGGAACATTTTTCTAAGTTAAAAATGCTACGTAGGAGCGAGTTGTTTTTATTATTGCGGATACCCTTACCTAATGACTCAATACCAGGCTTGTAATTTTAAACTGAACACAACTTTATGGGCAACATGATTCTTGAGATTTGTTTCTCAAAATTGAACACGGATCACCAGATCAGATCTGTCTGTAGCTCTGTGCAACTGAAATATCATTGCCTACTTTTGAATTCCTAAACCTCTTCAAATATAGGTTAACAGACCAATATCCTTGTTGATTTCTTTTTGTATTTATGCATATTTGTATTAGATATTTTTGATCAGTATAGAAAATCCCATTGTTCCAACTCAGCGTTTAGTCTGTCAGCATGAAAAAATATTCATATTCTTCTTTCTTAGATTCAAAGCGGATGATCAAATATCTCTGCATCTGCCATAGTTCTGCCCATTCACCTAGATGATCTCTATTCCTAACTTATCATCTACACAACTTACTGTGCCTTCAAACATCCTGGGTGGGGGGAATGGAGGCTGTATTAATATGAAGAGTTTGGTATTGTCTTTACCGCCCATGATAATCTTAAAGTAGTGAGAGTATTTCCTCAAGGAGAGAGTTGAACAGTGCTTTACATCAATGTTTATCAAACTGGGTTCCACAGACAACTGGGGTCTTGTAGAGGTCTGCAAATTAATTGAACAGTAGACAAATGAGTGTCACACGGAAGCCTGGTGTAGCTAGGGAACAGGAGTAGAGCCTGGTTGCCATGCACATGGCACAGACAGGGATGACTGTGTGTCCTTGGAATGAGGCGCACTAAGACTTATTGAGAATGGCAGGAGAACACCAGGAAACCTGCAGTCACCAAGGTTGGTAGTTGTTTAATGGTGAGATTAAAAGTCATTTATGTGGTTTATTTAAATGTCACATTTCTTTTTTTATGGAATTTGTTCATTTATCAAATTGTCATGTTTGTGACTTCCTGTCAGAACTGAAAAGTTAGAGATGTAATGAAATTATGCAAGCCCAAAACAAAAAAAAATCCTGATCCACTGGGGAGAAAGACACCAGAATTCTTGGATATTCATTTTACAACAGGTAATGATAATTTCCAAGATAGTAGGAACTGCAGATGCTGGAGAAGCATCCTTAGAAGAGGCTTCGCAGTGGGGTTAAAATTGTTTCAGAGATAGTATGAACTGCAGATGTTGGAGATGCTGCTTAGCCTGCTGTGTTCATCTAGCTCTGCACCTTGTTATCAATGATAGTTTCCAAATTGGGTTTAAGCTGATCTGACATTGTTGTGTGCGGATCTGAAAAGGTTAAGACCTATTTGCATCACTCACTGTGATGTTGTTGTGGGGATTTGGTTGGAAGTAAAGTAGGATTTTGTGCAAGACAGACATATAACTAATCATCCTAAAAGTTAGTACAATAATGTAGAGCTTATTATTACGTGTAGATAGTTGCAGAGATGTAATAAACTATGTATTGTTTACTGTACACAATGCTTCTTATAAGACTGGAAGTGTCTATTCTCACATTCACGAAATGGTGTCACGCCAAAGAACCCATATACATAGAAAATATGAATTTGTCGGAGTATATATCATACACCAGCAAGGCGAGACCTGATTACAGAGTAGTGTTAATGCTGGTATTACACCAGGAAATAACGAGTTTCTGAGTTGTGGAATTGCTGATATTACATCAAGCAATGATGGGTTTTCAAGTTGTGTTAATATGGATATTACATCAGGTAATAACTGGTCATTGAGTTATTTTAATACTAATATCACACTAGGCAGTGACTGCTCACTTGTGTTGAGCTAATGCTGATATTACCCCAGGCAATGACTGGATATGAAGACACATTAGTGCTGTTATTACACCAGGCAGTGATTGGTCACTGTGCTGAATTAATTATGTTAATACACCAGGTGGTGACTGGTAACTGAGCTGAGTTAATGCTGATATTGTACCAGGCAAAGCTGCTCACTGAGCTGTGTTGGTGTTGGTATTACAGCAGGTAATGCTGGTTAACGCTGTTCACTGAGCCGTTATAATCAGAATGCCTCTGACAAAGGAGCTGCATAGGAGGCTGCTGAATACAATAACACGCCATGGTGTTAGGGGCAAAGTGCTGGCATGGATAGAGGATTGGCTGACTGGCAGAAAACAGAGAGTGGGGATAAAGGAGTATTTTTCAGGATGGCAGCCAGTGACTATTGGAGTTCCACAGGGGTCAGTGTTGGGACTACAGCTATTCATGTTACACATTAACCATCTGGTCAAAGGAACTGAGGGCTTTGTTGCTAAGCTTGCAGATGACACAAAGATAGGTGGAGGGACAGGTAGTGTTGAGGAGGTGGGGAGACTGCAGAAGGAGTCGGACATGTAGGCGAGAGGGCAAAGACGTGGCAGATGGAAAACAACGTGGCAAAGTGTGAGGTTATTTATTTTGGTGGGAAGAACAGAGCCATAGACTATTTTCTATATGGGAAAATCTTCCGAAATCCGGAGTGCAAAGGTACTTTGGAGTCTTAGTTCAGGATTCTCTTAAAGTTAACATGTAGGTTCGGATGGCGATTAGGAAGGCAAATAGAATGTTGGCATTGATTTCAAGAGGGTGAAAATGCAAGAGCAGAGATGTCCTGCTGAGCCTGTATAAGGCTGTGGTCAGGCCGCATATGGAATTTTGTGAGCAGTTTTGGGCCTGAATCTAAAGAAGGATGTGCTGGTGTTGAAGTGGGTCCAGAGGAGGTTGATAAGAATGATCCCAGGGATGAAGGGCTTGTCATTTGAGGACTCTGGGTCTGTACTCAGTGGAATTTAGAAGGATGGAAGGGAGCTGATTGAAACTTAAAGGATACTGAGAGGCCTGAATAGAATGGCCATGGAGAAGATATTTCCATTGGTAGGACAGACTAAAACCTGAGGGCACAGCCTCTGAGTGAAGGGAAGACCTCTTAGAACTAAGATGAGGAAGAATTTCTTCATCCAAAGGGTGGTGACTCTGTGGAACTCATTATTCCAGAGGGCTGTGGAGGCCAAATTATTGAGTGTATTTAAGACAGAAATACGTAGGCCCTTGCTTAGTAAGGAGATCAAGGGTTATGGGGAGAAGGCAGGAGAAACGTATCAGCCATGATCGAATTGAGGAACTGACTTGATGGGCTGAATGGCCTCATTCTGCTCCTATATCATATGGTCTTATTATATCAGATAATGCTGTTCACTGAGCCTTGATGGTGCTGGTATTACACCAGGGAAAGCAGCTCACTGAGTTATGTTATTACTGGTATTCCACCATATAATCCTGGTTAACATTGCTCACTGAGCTGTGTAGGTGCTGATATTGCAGTAGGTAATCTTGGTTAACACTGCTCACTGAGCTGTGTTGGAGCTGGTTAACATTGCTTACTGAGCTATGTTGGTGCTGGTTAATGCTAATTAATGCTGGTCACTGAGATGTGTTGATGCTGGTTAACACTAGTTAACCCCGCTCGCTGAGCTGTGTCAGTGCTAGTTAACCCTGCTCCCTGAGCTGTGTCAGTGCAGGTTAGTGCTGGTTAACCATGCTCCCTGAGTTGTGTCGGTGCTAGTTAACCCTGCTCTCTCAGCTGTGTCGGTGTTGGTTAACCCTGTTCCCTGAGCTGTGTCGGTGCTGGTTAATGCCGGTTAACCCTGCTCCCCGCACAGTGTTGGTGCTAGTTAGTGCCGGTTAACCCTGCTCCCCGCACAGTGTCGATGCTAGTTAGTGCTGGTTAACTGTGCTCCCTGAGCTGTGCCAGTGCTAGTTAACTGTGCTCCTTGAGCTGTGCCGGTGCTGGTTAACTGTGCTCCCTGAGCTGTGCCGGTGCTAGTTAGTGCTGGTTAATGGTGTTCCCTGAACTGTGTTGGTGCTAGTTAGTGCTGATTAACCGTGCTCCCTGCGCTGCGCCGGTACCGGTTAACCGTGCTCCCTGCGCTGCGCCGGTACCGGTTAACCGTGCTCCCTGAGCTCCTTGGGGCTGAGCTTGCTAGCCCGGGAGTGCGGCTGCGCGCTGTCAGTTTCCGGCCGGGGATGGAGCGGGTTTGGGTCCGAGCCGCTTGGCCGTGCGGCCTGGGCCGGCTGCGGGCCTCGGTCACCGAGTGCGATTCGGATGGCGGAGAGGCCGCTGCCTGGTAAGGGGGAGCTCCAGGATCGGTTGCTGGTCTCTGCGGGGAGCCGCCGGCTCAGGGCCCCGCTCGGTGGGGAGACTGGGCCGGAGCCGGAGCCGGAGCCCTACTCCCACTCCGGGAGAGAGGGGTGTGTGAGGCCCTGCGTTAGTGTATGTGCAGCCAGGCCTCACTGCCTCCTTCTATCATGAGCCACTGGACTATAGATAAAACGTAGACACTAATACAAATCTTTTTAAAGAGACTGATCCGCTGTTTCTTCTCACTCTGGATTTTTTTTTTACAGACTCTTGCTGTTGTGAGTTAATTTCGCGGCCGCTGATCCCACAAATACCTTCAAAATGCCTGTTGTATCCGTTAGAACCATTGGCTATTTAATCGTTAATCTGAATGTAGGTGGGACTTTCACATGGACAGTTTCACATGGAATACCCACCACAGCAGATTCTGTAGGCATTGCCTGGGGAAGCTGAATTTTCCACTCGCTCTGCCTAAGTGGCAGACCTTAGAGGGTTCTGGTGAAATTAAGTACAAGTTACTCGGGAAACGTTGTGACTATTAAATTCATAGCCTAACTCCTAGTAAGCTGACCCATCATGCTGAACTCGGCTTGGCCCAGCCTGTGGTGAAGTGCTGCTGAGTACATTGGCTGCTTGTCACACATGACTGATTGGAAATCCAGATGTTGTTAAACAACATTCCAGATTAATAGCACACAATAAAATTGGATAATGGACATAAATTCTGGGGTTTATTATCTTTATCTTCATTCAGTGGTGGTAACAAATACACTTTAATGTTTTGTCTTTTTGGTAACATGGTAAGTAGTGTGATTTTGATGATTGGTCAGTTCTTTGTGATATAAAGTGATGTTAAATGTGGTCTACTTCTGCTCCTATCAAGCCTTGTCTGCCATTCAGTTAAATTATTGCTGATCTGCTGCCTCAATACCACTTTGCTAAGCTATTCCCATATTACATTACGTTTTTAATATCAAGACAGCCACTACTTTCTGTGTTGAATATATTCAATAATCGACTTTCCACAGCCCTCTGGAATACAGAATTCTAAAGATTCATCCCCCTCTGAGTGCAGAAATTCTTTCTCATCTCTATCTTAAATGGTCCACCCCTTATACTGAAACTGTCTCTGGGTTCTAGACTCACCAGCTAAGGGAAGCTTCCCATTGACCATTACCCTTGCTCGTTTCAGATAAATCCCTGGGGAAGGCTGGATAAGAGTAACTTTAACTTTTTCTCTAGCAATCTTATAAATCGTCTCCATTGACCTAATCCAGACTTTAACTTATGTTAGCCATGTTTGACTCACCTTTTTTGTTGGTTTTGATGTCTTAGGGGAAGGTATATTTATGGTAAACATATAATATTTATTTAAATACTAGCCATTACTTGCTTACCATAAATACTTACATATATTTTCCCATTCCACCATAGTAACTTACTTTCAAAAGAACTAGAAGGAGGAAAAGGAAATTCAACTCCTTGAGCCTGTTCCACCATTTAACACAACCATGGTTGATCTCATCTCAGCTTCAACTCTACTTTCCTGACTGTTCTCTAAAACTCTTCAACCCTATGCTAACTAAAAATCCGTCTATCTCCTTAAATTTGCTTGATATCCCAGCATTCACTTGTCTATGGTTGTGAATTCCACAGATTCATGACCCTTTGAGAGAAGTAATTTCTCCCCATCTCAGTTTTAAATCTTCTACCCCTTATCCTCAAACTATGACCTCATGTTCTAGATTGCCCCATTTAAGGAAACGTCTTGTCTATGTCCACTTTGTCAGTCCACTTCAGCATCATATATACTTCAATTTAGGTCTCCTCTGATTCTCTAAACTCCAAAGCGTACAATTTTATTGAATTGCAAAGGACATATTGTAATTGTGAAGTATTTGATTTAATCAGTAAACAAATCTCACTTCATTGAAAATGTTGTGGTATACCAGAAATGTAACACTATTTGAGATGGAAAGAAGAAAAGAAAATTACAATAGGCTATAATTTTGAAATAAAATGTTTTGCTTTAAGTTAAAGATGACTTATTGTTCCCTTTGTTATGATTCAGTGCAGATCTTGTTACTTTGGAACGGCCTCAAACCAATACTGTGGAAACTCCATGTATACTCTATCTACGGTTCTCTCCTCAACAACCTGCTGACATAGTCTTTGTAGAGGTATGGAGCGAAGCAAGAACCATGGAGGTTTACACAGGAGAGTACTGCGGAACAAGCCGTGGCCAAAGAGTAGACAACCTACATTTAAATGGGTAACATTGTTTTAGCTCGCAATATTAACCTTGAATCGGCAGTCAGCAGACTAATAGAGTTTGTAAAACGTCAGCTTAGCACTCTAAATGATTATTATAAATTTTGCCATTGTAATTAGTTAGATTCTTCTGATATTTCTCAAAGGTCCAATTCACTGCCTTTTAAATTTTCTAGTACGCTGCCTATGAAACAATCAGAATGTCACTAAAAAAAAGACCATCTGACCTACTAATGCTGTTTTTGGAAATAAAATCTGTCATCTTTAACAGTCTGGCTTGTGTGACTCCAAATCCATTGCAATATAATTGACTTTTTATGCTGTCTGAAATGACTAGCAGACCACTGAGTTCCAGACAAATTCTCACAACCTCCTTGAGGACAATTAGGGCTGAGCAAGAAATGCTGACCTTATCAGTGTTGCCAAAAACACACATAGTAAAATAGGTCCACTTGCAGCTATGTGTAGGAGGAGACAGTGGTTTATAGAAAGCTATTTTTCAGTGTACAGTTCCATTAACATTTACATTTTACAGTTTACATTTAATGACGCATTTGTTACTGTTAGACAATGGTTTGGTTTAAAGGGTGATGCTATGTGATTGTGTTTAAAGATCGAGACTATTGCTGGATAGTTTTGCTGTGCTTCCAAAAAGGTGATCACAACACTTCCAAATGTAGGCCTGTTTAATAATGCTAGTGCCCCATATACACAGTCCAAATTCCTTTGCTGTTTTTATGGCTTTAACAACAAATTTTGCATCTATGTCAGTACCTTTGATGTAGTAAAGCAGCCTACAATGCTTCATTGTTCACAGAGGTTGAAATACAGGTTTAAAAAATAGTCAAGGGAGAGACAATTCAAAACTTAGTCAAAGAACCATGACCCTTCGTTTCCAATATTGGCAGATATTGGGTGGGGTTCTTTTCCTGCAATTACTGATTTAAATTCCAACAGCAGCTAATGTGATAGAATTCTGTCTCCAGGTCGGAGAACCAACACCAACTTATGGGAACATTATCACACGTTAGGCAAAAGACTGAAAGCTTGGTATAATGCTTGGATTTGAAGGGATGTCTTAAAGGAGGAAAGAGAAGTAAAGAGAGGATTAAGGAGGAAATTCCAGAATTTAGGTCTAGAGTGGCTGAAGGTACAACCATCATGGATGGCACAATTAAGCTTAAGGCTCTCAAGAGGCCAGAATTATAGAAGTGGAAGTAGTCAAAGCATTTTGGTACTGTACTGAGAATATGGAGCTAGCGAGGGGTAAGACCTCAGCAGGATTTGCAAAGAAGGATGACAGCTCACTTCAGAGAAAGCTTCTAACAGGGATCACTATAGTTGCAATTGCTGTCCTGGAACCATTGACATTTTGAATATATTATATTTATTTTATATTTTATATATATGTTCTGTCACTAAGAATGAATCTGTGTTTAAATTGTCTTTCAGTGACCATGAACAAATCCTCTTATTTAAGAAGTATTTTAAGTTGGATATTCCTAGTTCATCCTGTGAACTAAAGGTAATTTGAGTTACTTTTGTTTTTTTTTTCACTCATCGTGTTTTACTCTTGTGAATCTTCTGACTAATATCCTATTTATAGCTGCTGTCTTTAGGTGGAAAGGAGAAAGTACGAATTGGTAAAATATTGCTGGGAATAAAAAATGCTTCAGTTGGGATCTCAAGAGGCTTTTCTCCATTAGGAAAAAGCATCGACATGGAACGAGTACAAACAATGATGGATTCAATGGGAGCAAAGCTGTCACCTGGAGCTCAGCAACTCTTTAGCATGGTCCAATTTCAACAGAAGGTGAGTAATGCATTGGTCAGCATAAAAACTTCAAAAAGACATGCTGACTACAGTAAAATAGAGTTCTAGAGTTTTTACAACATGCAAAAGAGGCCTTCTGACTCATTATGTCCATGTCAGTCGGTGAACATCCATCTATTCTAATGCCATTTTCAGCATTTGGCCCGTAGCCTTACTTACAGCAGTTTCCTGTTTCAGAATTATAAATATCGGCTCTGGACTTTCATCACTGGACATCTTTGACTCTATGTCCTTTGAGATATTCTCTAAATGTTGCCACTTTGATCAATCTTTAGGTCATTTGCACTAATATTGCCTTATTTGGCTAAAGATTTACTTTTGTTTTATAAACCTACTGTGAAACACTTCAATACATTTTATTATTTTACAGACACTATGTGATTTTGTAAACATTCAGTAAAGATTATGGTATGCCTGAACACAAAATAATTAATTACCAAGATATGATTAAGAAAAATAATGAGTCTGTTGAATTTTAGCTTGGTGAATGATTCCCCATGAGAGATTTACATTCTATTCTTCACAACATAAACTATCTGTCAAACAGCTGCATTGCAAGCTTGGTAGTTTGTATTTTTATATAAGACTAGTTTGGTGTTTACAGATCAATAATATGTATGTTACCCATGGCTGTATGCTAATAAAGACAGTATCTTGAATATGATGGATTAAGTTAGAGGGACATGAGAGTCCTTGACCTTTGATAGCTCAATTGGAAAATGCTATACCTAACTGAAGCCTACAGCCTTAAGGTTCTTGGTGTGATTTCTGGTCTATACAGAGATATCTGATCTCGACTTTGATGATTACAATTGGCCTTGGTGCATCTGCACCAGGTAAATCAACAGCTCTGCTTATGATGGATTTTGCTAGTTAGCTGTAACAATAATAGTAATTGTTTTATATATTGATGTTTCTCCATGTAGAATCAAGCAGCAATAGGTGGACTATTTCAGGGTCTACTTGGAACAAAAGATGTAACAGAAGTTGGAAAAATTGTGAATTCACCGCAGATGTTCACCACACAATGTGAAGGTGATGTGATCTCTTCTCATGTATTGAGCAACACTAACCCATTGCCTAGTTCAAAACTGGAAGCAACAAAGGATCCTGTAGGAGTAACCATATTTGATGCTGAATCCACACAAACAAGAGATGGCTCAGTCTTGCCCATTGGAGCAAACAATAAAAAGAGAACTTCTGATTCTGAAGACAGCACAAAAGATGTAGATCAACAAAAATTTAAGAGAGGAGATTTGAAAGAGCTTGTATCGACATTTCTGTGCAAGCAAAGTAATGGGGAACCAAATGTCTTTAGTTCTGAAATGCTTCCTTTCCTTCAGGACCTTTGTGGTCAGGTGAATGAACTTCGTTTGGAAGAAAAGGTTAAAGTTACTGAAAATACCACAGCAGCTGAGGACAGAACCAATGACAGGTATGACTTTGTGCAGTTCATTGTACAGCTGTTCTTTTGTGTAGTTTGTTTCATAAAAAAAATCTGTTGAAAATTGAGTTCAGTTTAGCTCTTAATTCTCTTACCCATTGTTAGAAACTAAGAAATATATAGCAGTCTTGGCCTAGCCTTTGCACGATCACTGTATAACATGTGGAATGTGATGATTCATGGTGGTTTTTGATTCAACCCTTGCAGATTGTGATAATGAAATTAATGCTATTCACTTGTTAAATGGAATAAAATAACAGTGTGATATCAATTATTATGTCCCGAATTGTGTGGTGGTAATGAAAACATTGTCATTATTTGTTTTCTGGTGTCAGCACATGTACAGTTAAATGCAGAGATCCTGAGGTTGCCATCTGTAATCAGGAAATGCATGAAATACTGAGCAACTCTGGCAGTATCTACAGAGGGAGTAACATTTCAATTCACGGCCTGTTATCAAAGCCTTAACAATAGAACCAGACAATTCATGAGAGATTTAGAAAACATTCCTTGAAAGAAACCTTGGTAGAAATGTGGACGATTTGATTTTTTCATGAACTGTGGATGTTCTGGAAGGAAATCTTGTAGATACAGTTTGTTTTAAAGGTACATTTTGAAAACATACTGCTTGTTTTCATGTTGCTCTGTTTCTTCACAGGCGTTACCAAGAGGCTTTATGTTCAAAATTAGAAAAGCACATTGCTGAACACATGGAGTCCATAGAAAAGAGACTGAAGGCTTACATTGATTGTCGAATAAACATGCTACAAGCTGACCTTGATGAAAAGTTTATTTCGCTCACCAAACTGCTTGAAACTATTGTTTTGAACAGAACTGTGACTAAAAACTACGAGCGTGACACACTTTTAACAAATGGGGAGCTTTGACTGATTTTTCTTCTCATCCTTTGAAAGATTACAGTGAAACTGGTTTAGTTTCAAGAAGCCCTGAATGTTATATTTAGTGCAAGGGTGTCCAAACAATGACCCTGGCCATATAGATTGAAACTTTGAGCCCATTAAATTTGTTGCTGATATGATTCATGGAATAACACACTCCTATATACAGCCAGTATGCATGGCAAGTAACCCAGGCAACTCTGCTGCATTTGTTTGTTGTAATTTTATCTTTGAGTTTTATGGGCCTGTAAGTTTTGGGATGGTCATTTCTCATTCTATTGCCACACTAATGGATGAGTGATGAGCTGTGATGCATGCTGGAATGTGTCAAAAATTTTAGTGGCAAGTTATTGGGAACAGAAAACCATATATGTGGCTCATGAATGTCTGGGGATTGCACTTGAATGGCCCACAGAAAAGCTTGGACTTTCCCAATCTAACGAACACATCACCAGAAAATTGAAATGAAAACTAGAACATATAATTTGTTCCCCTCCTGTAATGTTTTGAACTTGTGACATTTTTGGATTTAATGTGTTCTCTGTTTAAAAAGAACAAAATTGTTTGCAGCAAATACAAAATTACTAAAATTCAAAGTTGAGTAGAAATTGTATTGTGATTTTGAGACAATGTGTTACTGGTGTTAAATATTTTTGATATCCTATCAGTTGTTGTTCCTAGGCCCTGGAATGGTTAATATTAAGAATATAAAGGGTCCTGAAATTGATTTTTTGACATGCTTACCTTGACCTGTTCGGACATTTGCAGGAGAAACTTAAAACTCCAGGACAAGTATAATTTAGCATATCTCCTTGAAATGATAAATCATTAAACGTTATTTGCTGTCTCACTACTCTCAAACATTCATTTCAACGTGTTAAGAAAGATTTGTAAATCACTGCCATTAATCACCAATCTAATTTTTTTATTCATTCATTGACTGGACGTAGGTGTTGCAGGCTAGGCTAACATTTATTTGCCATCCTTAATTGCCCAGAGAGTAGTTAGTGTGATTAAATACATATTGAACTTCAGGAGAACAATTTGTATCCTGTTGGCATTCATACTAAGATAGTAGCAGTGTAAAATTAACTTGCACTCTAAGTTGATGATGGTGTTAACTTCTCAGTGGACCTGCCTCAAGATGGAGCTGCAATGTTGTATTAGAAGCAAGAAAGGTGTGTGGGTTTCTGAGCAGATACAATTGAATGGGAATTTATCCCGATAAAATGTAAAGTGAGCAACTGAAAAGGGGGGAGGTATATATTTTTGTAATTTATTATAAGGTTTTCCAAAGTTTGTTCAACATATTGACTGTCCAATTCTAGATGAAATACATTTCTTGTAAATGTTTTTGTGGTGAACTGTATTTGGAATAGTTTTTGTAACTGTATAAAGGACATTTGTTGCAGGTACTGCAGACATTTCAAAGTCTTAAAAACCATGATATCATATTTATGCAGGGTTCTGTCTGAATTTCAAAGTATATAATTAAGTTTTTTTTGTAGAACTTAAATTTTTGCAGTGTTCGGACAAACTGTTATGAGTAATTTCTGTTTTATTCTGACTGTTTGAAGGCTGGAATTAGCACAAAAAAACAAGTACCTCATTAGATTATTTCTGTTTTAAGTGTGAACTTATAGTCAATATGAATACAGAATTCTGAAGAATCAAAGTTATAAATTTGATTGTTCTTGTGACAGAAATACTCATTAAACTTAAATATATGATTGCAAAGCAGGATTTTAACATCTTTCTCCTTTCTCCCTGTATAATTTGTAGAGATGTTTTATCGATACAGTAAAAATGCAAGCAGACGAGCGTATTATTTTCATAGTGTTGGGTTGTAGGTTATGCAAGATGTTAACTGAATCAAACACCGGAAATGCTGGAGAAACTCAGCAGGTCTGGCTGCATCTGGGCAGGAGAAACATTGGAGAAACTGAATTAATGTTTCGAGTCTAGTTAAAAACCAAAAGAACTGCAGATGCTATAAATCAGGAACAAAAACAAAGTTGCTGGAAAAGCTCAGCAGGTCCGGCAGCATCTGAGGGAGAAAACAGAGTTAATGTTTCGGGTCTGGTGACCCTTCCTCAGAATTCACCAGACCCGAAATGTTAACTCTGTTTTCTCCCTCACAGATGCTGCCGGACCTGCTGAGCTTTTCCAGTGACTTGGTTTTTGTTTCGAGCCTAGTTCTTCGTTTCTGAAGAGGAGTTGTACTAAGCACAATGTTAACTTTGTTTCTCGCTCCACAAATGTTGCTAGACTTGCAGAATTTCTCCAGCATTCTATGGTTGTGATTGATAACTGATTTTGATTACCATAGGTTTTTTGCTTGGATAGGGGATTTTGAATTTGCAGTCATTTACATAAAACACTGCTAAAATTCAGTCCTTAAAACATTCAGTCGGGTGTTCCTTATAAATGTACTGTAATAGTTTGTGACATTCATAGTAAGTTTGTCAATAGACATATTGATATGGCAGAACATCATACTTTATGATAGAAAATATTAACCTTCTGTGTAGTTGCAACAAAGTTTAATGTAATCTGTTTCTTTAAGACCATTGATTCTAACCTTTTTTATGCAAAGTCCTTAAAATATGCAAACATCTGTGTTTTTTCTAGCTTTGCTATGGTAAGTGGCATTTAAGAGGAGAGGAGCATTTCACCATCAAAGTAAATATTGCATCAGCCAATCCAGAGGTGAACTACTAGATATTCTGTTTGTGACAGAAATTCTTTAAGTCAGGCATTGCAACTCTGGAAAGAAGTGATGAGTTAATCATTCCAGGAATAGCAATTCATCAGAAATAAAATATATACAGCTATCTAACTTGAAGAGTAGATTGAAGGAATGGGAAATTGCAAAGGAAAACAAATGATCTGTAAAGGGATCACTTGGAGAATAGGATCCACTTAATTAACTGATATGACACTGTAAGACAAAGGGAGGCTTTAAGAAAGAAATAAAATACATGAGAGCCATGAGTGTACACTTAGTGAAATAGGAAGGTGGAGCATGAAAACCTGACTGGCATTAATGGACCAGATGGAACAGATATTTTCTCAGTACCAGGGATGTAGAAGCCCTGCCCCGCCCCATCCTGCCCCATCTGCCAATGGTGTACTATGGAGGTGGCCTCATTGCGAGAAGGTTGATACTTGGTTTTCCTTCTATCAGACGCCTGAAGAATTGGAGCCTACTCCATTTGTTAAATAGTTCCAGCATCTTCATTGTTCTAATTTATTTTCTATGCTGTGCTTTGTATTTTTGCTAGGCTCTGTTAGTTTGTTTTCAAATTAATTTTGTTCATTATTTGAAATGTGGGTACAGAATATGCTTGACCCACTACTTAATAAAAGATGTGTAATAAAAGTGAAAAATTTGATATGTAATTTTAAAAGCAAGCTTTTATTAAGTCATGATGCTGCACAATACAGCAATTTGAAATACAAGCTTTGACTTTATTAGCCAAAATATTTTATGTTTGATGACATATCACTGTGCCTTGGGTGTTGGCCTAGGTTGAACAGGTGCATGGGCAAATGGCTTAGGGAGTTATATCCTAAGATGTAAAAATGAAGTATCTATAATTTATTTGTTAAATCCTTAAATGAAATTACTTCATAGCTTATTGATAAAATAGCTGAATTTGGTTTAGCTTGACCACAGCAATGTAATTGGTAATTTCAGACCTAAGTGCAATATTGTTTTTGTCTAATTTGTAATTTCTGTGTGCTTTTACACATCTTTTTGGATGATGCACAAGGTTAATGAGAAGGTTGCATTGTAGTTGCTGGTATGGATAGGTTCTGACTTTGTTCCTGAGCTCTATTATCATAGCAGCCACTGTGAAAGAAAAGCCATAGCAAAATTATTTTAACCATTTTCTTGTTACTTTAACCACCTTTATCCAGGATTTCTAAAAGTAATTGCTTTTTTAAAAAAAAACTTAGTCTGCAGTTGTGACACAAAATAAAATGCTAACTTTTATTCTGCAACTTTGTTCTTCTAAACTCTTATTTTTGACGGATGTGTACAGAAAATGCAAAAATAGCTGTTAAGTGTATCTACAGAGTAGTTTTCAGAGCTGAATATGTCCAATCACAATATCACTTCTTCCTTCTGGTAGATTTTGGTCTGTCTTATAGGAGATCAAATTCCAGAAACACTCGAGGGGAATCATCATTAGCCCTACAGACCATAAATCTACAATGCAGGAAAATTGAATGAAAAGCATGCACAAATTCAAACAAATATTATGGGATGGTGAAGGATATGAATGTTGATTCCTTCACAGACCTGCAAACAAACATTTCAAAAACATATAAGATGTTTTTGATATTTTAAAGCATTAATATATCTAGCAATTGTTCAGAAATTGTATATTTCTAACTAAACTTAGTGAGATTGAACATTGTATTACTTTTATTGTAGAGAAAATTTGGATAGTTGTGATTTAATATACTTGTGTGGTGTTCCTGTTGGTAAAATGTGCATGTTTTAGTGGACAGATCTAGATTGAGGTTTTTTTTTCACTCTAATATTTGTTATTAATAAAAGTACTGTCGTGATCCTTTTAAACTTAAAATGAAGCTGTACTAAAAAAAGTCAATCTTTCCTCTGAAGTAGAAGTTTGTGAATTCAAATCTTGATTGTGGAATTATGTGAAAATGACTGTATGGAGATATAGTTTGGCCCAATTGATTAATTTTGGTGTTTATCTCACAGGCAGTCTTAGTCTTTTTGTGTCTGCTTTGTTTCCGTAACCATTTATTGTTCTTCCATTCAGCCACCCATCTAATCTATTTTGAATTTTTTACTGTGGTCTTTATCTCAACTACTAATCCAGTTGTAGATTTCATTGTCTAATAATCCTCTGTATAACAATAAAAATTTATCATGCTCTTCTAAATCACTTCAATCTTGTTTGGATTTCCCTTTGTTTCAGACCTCTAAATTACTGGAACAATTTTCTTACTCTGTCCCACTGAGGGCAAGGTGTAAAGGGAACTTGACTTCGTATCCAACTCATGCTGCAGTGTCCCTGAGAAATTTTCATGGCAGAGTAGACAGTGATTTACTCTGAGATCCCTAACCCTAACACCAGTGCAGTGAGACACAAGTATTCACTACCCTCCACTTCTGCTCTTGGTTTCATTCCTATTAATGGATTTTGGATCCTACTTTCTATCTTTCGCCTAAAATTTCTCTATATGTGTTTGGGATGCAAGTTTTGGCAGGGCTAGCAATTGTTGCCCATCACTAGTCCTCAGGCAGCTGGTAGTGAGCTACCTTGACTTAACTTTGTAGATTGATGTTTATAAATTATTATTATACTGTACTGTAAATTGTGTCAATACAGCAGTTCTACTTTTCATATTCCATTAATATTAAACAAGAAAGGAAGCACTGCTAGACCTGGCTTTTAGGAATAGGTGGGCCAAGTAGATTAAATGACACTTGGAGAATGTTGAGGATCGTGGCAATTATGTAGCGTTTAGGATGACTACGGAAAAGAATAATAAACAATGGGGCAGGGGTGAAATTACACGTGATTCTTCCCGTCTTAGCCAAGCCCTAGTTCTTCTAAGTGATAGAGGTTGGGCTTTGGAAGGTGTTGTCAAAGGAACGTTGGCAAGTTGTGGTACTGCACCTTGTAGATTCTAAATATTGCTTCCGTTGCGTGCTGGTAGTGGATAGGGTACCTATCAAGAACACTACTTTGTCATGGATGGTGTCAAGCTTCCTGAACAGTGTTAGAACTGTAGTCATCCAGGCAAGTGATCACTGGTAGGCTGAAGGATTGGAAAACTTTTAAAGACCAACAAAGTATTGCTTAAAAAAAGTAATTAAAGGAGCAAATTTTAATTATGAAAGAAAACAAGCGCAAAATATAAAAGAAGGAAAGCAAAAACTTCTATAAGCATGTAAAAAGGAAGAGAGTAGCTAAAGTGAATGTTGATCCCTAAGAGGATGTTAATAATGGGGAACACAGAAATAAGGCAGCAACGTTAAATCAATATTTTGTCTCTGTTTTCATGTTGGAGGATACTGAAGCCATCCCAGGTGATACAGAAGTTATGCGAAAGGAGGAACTTAAAACGATCACCATGATTAGGGAACAAGTATTGAGTCTGCTATTAGGAATAAAGGCAGACAAGACTCCAGGTGGCCTACATTTTAGTGTCTTAAAGGAAGTGACAGCAGAAACAGCCAATGCATCCTCTATAATACTCCAACATTCTGTGGATTCTAGAAAGGTTCCAATGGATTGGAAAAATGCTAATGTAACACCCTTATTCAGTTAGTTTAATGCGCAAGGTAAGACCACATTGCGGTGGGTGTGATATATTAACTTGGATAAGGCATTAACTAACGAACAGAAAGTAGAGATCTGGGATAAGAGTCTTTCTGGTTAGCAAGCTGAAACTAATGGAGTACCACAGGGTTCAGTGCTTCATATTAATGACATGAATGTAGGAATAGAATGTAGCCACATTTGCAGATGACACTAAAATAATTGGAAAGTAATTTGCAAAGAAGAAATAAATTTACAAATGGAAATGGATAAGATAGGTAAATGGGCCAAAATTTGGCAGATGGACTTTAACGTGGTTAAATCTGAGGTTATGCATTTTGGTCAGAAACGCAAGAAGGCAAGTTGTTTTCTAAGTAGAAAGAAACTTCAAGTGCTTCAGCGCAGAGGGATCTGGGTGTCTTTGTGCGT